AACATGTGCACTGGAATTTGGGCTACTTCCTGCCGAATAACATTCTTCATCTGAAGCAGGTTTGTGAGGCAATGTTTAAAAACCTCTGCCTTGAGGTATCCCCACAAAAAAAATTACAGGGCATTAGATCAGGTGAGTGCACTGCCCTCGAAGCGAGATGAGCCGTCCAGGGAACTCTGCCCTCAAAACTGTCATCGAAGCTCGGGCTGTGTGGGCCGTGGCACCATCCTGTTGGAACCAGACATTTCCTAGATGCATTTTTTCAAGAGCTGGTTCGAAAAAGATCTCAAAATCGACTGTCGAACTGCCTCCACATTTTCTGGCATCGTAACAGTCTGTTGTCATCCTGATGATTTTTTCACCACACTCCCAGTTGTCCTAAAGTTCTCTACCCACAAAACAATCGATTTCCGGTCGGTAACCGGACCTCTGGGCTTAATTCCGAAGTGAGTACAGAACGCACACTGCACCACCACGTAGGAATGGTTGTTCAAAAAATAGGCTTCGACAGCAAACGCATGCTGCTCACTCGTCCACCTCATGTTTCCTACTGAGGGGTATTACACAGAAAGTTCTGTGACTGCTGCGTTCGCCGAGCCTTATCCCCACTTTTCTGCAACCTCCCCTCCCTTCACAATGTGTCTTCACAGAAAGGAAGTTTCTGCGCCCCACCCTGTATTATCTAAGATGGGTTATTATTTTCCCCTCTACCTATAACTAATAATTTCTGTAAGCATTTCTTGTTTCTCCAAAGATACTCCATGTCTTACTCCTATTTATCTGGGATCAGTCTCATAAACAAAACTAGACTGAAGATGTAATTTTTCCCATTTTTCTGCTGCTCCCTATTTCCTTAATTTTCTCCATTCTCCTACTGCTTCCTATCTCATATATATCCAAATATTCTTCTCTGGACTTTGTTTTTAAACACCTGAATCTCTCATCTTCCCTCATAGTGACAGAATAAAATTCATACTCATATAAACAATATGTAAAACTAGTTATGTGTCATTACATTTTGATTAACTGAGATACAGCAACTGCTTTATTGCCAGAACAGCACCAAAAATGAGCTTAACACATTTCACAATACATACAGAGTACAATGCATACTGACCAACTGTCAGATACCTGCCCATTTACTTACATTATGTACTTTGATGGCTGTGAAATATCAGCGCAATAGTTTACTTGAAGAACACCAGATGCAGCAAAATTGCTGCTCTGGTAACATTTAACATGTGAACATGGTAATGAGCTTCCGGGTTCCATAACAGGCACAAAATTTCTTTACAAGCTGAGTAACTACCAGCTTCTCAAGATGTTATGTGTGAAGTTAGTCAGTCAGGTGTTTTGAGAGTTATAAAAATAAAATGGGTGGAGAACAGAAACCAGAAAAGAAACTCAACTTAAATTTCATGGAAAGATATTTTCAATGTCAATACATGTAAGACAAAGACAAAACATTGCTTGTTCTAATAAACATTTTACAGTCACTACAAAGTTGCACAAAATTAATAAAGTTATAACACATAACATGAATACAGAGAGTACAAAGTAACTTCACAACTTTTAAAGACATGTAAAAATGTAATGGTATTATGCATAATTGACCACACAGGCTAGTGTAATAGAGCCAGACACAGTAACTTTCATTGTGGCTGCCAGCTATAATGTGTCAAGACATTCCACTGACATGCAACATAACATGTCAGGTGCAACAATTTTCTAAACATCTGTGATAGGCATTGCAAGAATGATATTTTCACTCTGAGATGACAATCGGGAAAAAAATGTGCACTATCATATATACCCCAATGGAAGATGATTCTGAATGCAAAGTGACCTCACACTAGGAAACATGTCTGCACAGAAGAGATAAAAATTAATTTTACTTCAAACATGTGAAAGAGAATTAACATTAGAAAACATGCTATAAATGGCAATTTTTTTACTGTTTCCTTCTTGAAGTCACTAGTCTTTATTCAGCTTCAAAACTTTCGTCCTGTTAACCATTTCTATCATCTGTTTCAGCTTCAACATACACACAATTCTGTTCTTCTGTCTCACATTCACTGCCAATATTTCCAACTTTCTCCTCACCCTTCATACCATCCATTTCAGATGTACAACACATTTTCAGTCCTTTGACTATTATTTCTGGAGACATCTGCTGACATGGTCTCAATCCACTGGCAAAGTGGTTCTACACTGGGCCTCTTTATTGTCCTGATGGTAACAACACAGTCCCTGCCAAGAACCATTCAAAATATAACTGTTTCAAATGATCTCAACAAGCTTATTAATTATAACGTGTAATTATTAAACCATCCATCCAGATATGAACAAAAAGTCAGTATTCACTGTAGAAATCACACATCTGACATCCAGTGATAAATGGCCTTCAAATGCATCCAGCAGAAGTATTCCCTGTTTTCTCAACAATACTCTTGGTGTCCTGTTTCAGACAACTTGTAACCAGTCCCATGTCAGTTAATTTAGTCACCTATCCCTTAGTTTAAAATATCACTGTTAGCTCTATAGCCAGCTGCACCTTAGGATTAATTTTCCACTTCAGTGTCACATATGGTAGTTATTTCATGCAGTCTGCCAACTCTCAGCATTACAGTCACATCTATTCATTGTCTGACACATCTTGCTTCACACTGCAGAAGACCAGGTTTGATGCTAGGTTAGGACATGTGGGATTTGTGATGGGCAAAGTGGGATCAGCAATTTTTATTTGAGTACTTCGACTTCCGCTGTCAATTCTCATTCCACAAACTGCTCCACATTACTTTTAATTATCCTATCATTGGCATCAGAGGTGGGAAAGCATAGTCGACATAGCAACTGGCTACAGGCTGGATGACCGATGGGTTGGAGTTCAAGTCCCAGTGGGGTCAAGAATTTCTCTTCTTCAAGTCATCCAGACTGCCTCTGAGGCCCACTCAACCTCCTATCCAATAGGTACCAGGGGCTCTTTTCCGGGGGGGGGGGGAAGGGNCTCCAAATAATGCCCACGTCAAGAAAATGTGTATCTTTATATCCACTCCCCCATATACCTTCATGGTGTAGTGTTTAATTAGTTATGCACAGGGACAACAGTTTTTACCTATTATTGACATTTAGTTTTGATACTGACAGTGTCATTAAACAACAAACTGAAAAAAGCTGAAATTTATTTTCTTGCTGTTTCACAGTGGTTTGTTTGTTCTGCATGTTTAATTAACACAGACCTAAAGCACAAATAATAACTGCAGTGCCTGAACTTTTCGATACATTACTCCGCTTCAAAGTAGTACATTTCTGGACACAATCTACCATTTTTGAGTAACACACAAATTAACATAGAACCTCATAATATTGTAAACTGGTTTTAACAGTACTTCATACAAATCATGGCACCTCTCACTTCTGACCTTGGAACATGATTCTGTCTTGCTTTAACAGCACAACAGTGTGAAGTACTGACCTGTGGTGCAAACTGTGCTATGAACATGCTGAAAGCTGGAAACTGATTAAAAATATCCAATATACACATAGCATTGAAATCCATCATGGTGACCCGTGGCTTCATAAAAATTAAAACAGGGGCAAAAAAAACTCACCTTCCACACAGACAAATATGACACCATTCCCTTTTGACATCTATCAGCACACAAAGAAAAAGCATGTATGAACAACCAGCACTTTCATAAGCTCCAAATTTGTCTAGTCTTGCTAGTTCAACATGATAATCAAGTAGGAACTTCAATTTCTCAGCAAGACTGTGTATGTCTATGTAATCATGCATAAGTGTAGCAACTAAAGGGTTAATCAAAAAGACGCTTCAGTTTGAACTGCATATATTTTTTGATACACTTCATGTAGAGGAATGGCTTTGGTGTTGATTAGCACAGTAGATTCTGGGAAAAAAAATCCATCAATGGAAAACATTTTTAATATGTGAAGAACTA